TTGATTATTTATATTAACCCTAATTTAGAGTTTATAACAGTATAACATAATAAAATTAATTTGTCTTTTTGGACCGGAATCCTGAAAATTGTCGTAGCAGTCAACGTGTTAAAGAAAGCTTTATCAATTTGAAAAGACTATCTAAATCCGGGTTTTATCCGGTCAATATCTTTAGGTATCGCCCAACACACCTAATAAACTACCTTAAAAATAGAATCAATGTATTTAAATGTTTACGGTGTCATAACTTTCTTATATGATACGGACTAAATTACAAGATCATATAGAATTGATAGGAAATTTTATGCACTATACATTGCTATATAAATGGCTCTATATATTAGTTGCACTAAAACTTTTCCCCAAAAAGTTGCATATAATTGCTATATTTAACAGTCTACGGCGTCATATTTTTCTTATATGATACGAACAATTCTCCAAGATCCTATAGAATCGATAGGAAATTTTCTTCTCTATGTTATGGTACGTAATAACCATCGATTACTGAATTGCACAAGCAGATTTTCCCCAAAAACTACGAAAACCATGAATAATTATTGATTTTAAATATTTATGGTGCCATAACTTTCTTATATGATACGGATAAAACTTCAAGATCATATAAAATCGATAGGAAATTTTCTGCTCTATGCGTTGGTGTATAACCCTTTATAGGGTATAATGATTTAAAGGCGATAATTTAAAACTAATCCTGGATTTAGTTACATTATGGGATAAGAAACCAAAATATACATATATTTTATTATTATTATTATTATTTCTATGGTGGGAATTATATTCCCTTTGCCTGTGCAACTACCTCCATAGTAATAACTAAAGTACTTACAAAAAAAACATATTTATTCGCATATATATATATATATATTATACACACATAGCTTATCCTTGATTATTATATTGATTAATAATAATTACCTACTGCCTGTGAAATGCAGTAAAGCAAGGGACAACGCAGAGAGGTACTGCACATCTTTCGCACATTATTTTAGTGCGTTTATCGTTTGTTTTCGTACTGCAAAGTCTGCATCGTTTATATGTCTCCGACGGACAAGGTAAATGATCTCCAACATTCGAGAATCGTACTTCATCAGCAACCACATGAATGGCTTTCTGGCGAGTGTCGGCCTGTATCAACTTTTTTCTGATCACGTAGGTGGGAATGGTGGATCGTCTTTTTCGACTGGAGTATACACCAATAAGCCCTCGAGCTAGGGCTACGCGAAACTCCAAATGCGTCAGATTTACTTTACTTATCTTGCTCATAATAAAAGCGTTAATGATGCTAGCATCAAGGAGAAAGTAAAAAAGGCGAAGCCACCATCGTTTGCTTCTTCTTCCAACTGTGTATGTGGTTTTGATCTGGTCGAATTTATCCACGCCTCCCATTCGCTTAGTATACTGCTTAATGGCTAAAGGGCAGCGAATTGGCACTTTACTGCCGTCTTTCTGAGTCCTCAAAGTAGTACAAACTCCGACTTTTGGATGGAACGCACTGCTCAAAAGTAGTACCTCCTTATTATCCTGCCAAATTATAAAAGCAACATTGTCCTTCACACGCCATTTAAATTCACCCTTAGATAGCTTTAGTTTTCTAGCGTTTGGACCTTTTGTAAGTTGAGGTAATCCTTCTCTGTGCCTACGCACGGTGCCAGTTGCATATATGTTATGTTCATACAAATATTCTAAAAGTTTGTTATCTGTGAAGAAGTTGTCAAATGTAACGTGAACATTCTTTATATTGTTATCAATTAAATGTTGCGTCAAGTTCTTCACGACTTTTGCTCCCAGCCCTTTTTCCACTCCATCCGTTTTCCCAGTATAAATACTAAATTCATACAAATATCCTGTCTCACTGTCGCATCTACACCAAATTTTGTATCCCCGTTTGATGGGCTTGAGAGGTAGGTATTGCTTTAGCGAAGACCGTCCTTTGAAGAGTACCATTGACTCATCAATACTCTGTGAACTAGATAAATTGACATTATTTTTACAGGATTCGTTAATAATATTTATCAATGGCCTCAGTTTGAACAACCTATCGTATTCGGGACTATTTCTTTCAGGTTGTCGCGCGTTATCATTCAAGTGTAGGCTGCGCATAATTTTCTTGAACCTTTTTACTGGCATTATTTCTGCTATGTCATTTTCTCGAAAACCTGGATCAGACGACCAATACAGGTCTATCATGGGCAGAACTTTATAGCCCATTATTATGAGAATGCCTAAAAAGGCTTTTATTTCATCAGTAGTCACGGGCGTCCACTCTTTTATTTTCATTTGGTCGGCATATAAGTTTGTTTGCGACACAATAAGTTCTATAGCTTCATTTGTAAAAAACTTTTCAAAAAAGCGGATGGGCCTAGTTTTAGGATTGAAGCTTTGCTTAGTAGTCAAAGGAATCTTGTCAAAATCTTCAGCAACGGGCCGAGAAGTCCAATATGTTTTTTTCCATGTCTCTTCTTCGAGATCAGAATCATCAGTGTCGTCAGGTGAGGTACTGAGTTCGGAAGTTGAATATCGAGATCGCGTCAACCGCCTAGCCGGCCTTACAGTAATTGAGCTACTATTTTCAATTTGTTGACTTACATACACGGACAGGTCTTCACTTTGTAAATCAGCTGGTGGAATGGCTTCAGTATCCATAATTTCTGATGATTGTAGGCTGGTCTGATTATGCAGGAGGTGCGGAGACATTGACGGATCATCGGGATTTTCCAGTATTTTTTGAAGCCGAGCGGTGCTGTACGGAGCTTCTTCCTCTTCGGCTTCCAGGTTATCGTCAGACACTTCTGGGTCATCAGGCAACCCAAAAAGCTCTTCAAGCGCATGCTCTATTTCGAATTCTGATAAACCTTTGTCTAAGCCACTTTTTGCACTCATCTGCCAAAGCAAAGCAAAAAATATAGCAGCCACTCGCAGGCAGAGGGAATATGCTTCCCACCACAAAAAGCAATTTATTTGAAAAACCAGGATACCCAAAGATAAAAATATGTGTCAAAATACTTAGGACAAATCCAATATAACATGTAAATAATAAAACTTACCTCAAAATCTCGAAGATCTACAAAATAGACCGTTATACAAAATTTGGTACGAAAAAACACTATTTTTGAACATTCAACAGGTGACAGCAAAAAAACAATGTTATGACAGTTATGCATTTCTTCACGTCATATTATTGACAGATCACTAAATAAGTTGATAACTTACAAAAGAAAATTAAATTTGATTATTTTCTTATAAAAAACTTAAAAAAATTATGGTGGTAAAAATATCACCTCTGCCCCTAAAAAGGGATAATAACCAGTGATTACTTGATTGCACAAAAACTTTTCCCCCTAGGTTGTGAAACAGCGTATAATTGCTGTATTTAACAGTTTACGGCGTTATATCTTTCTTATATGATACGAACAACTCTCCAAGATCATATAGAATCGATAAGAAATATTTTTCTCTATGTTCTGGTACGTAATAACCATCGATTACATAATCGCACAAGCAGATTTTCCCCAAAAACTGCAAAAACCACAAATAATTGTTATTCATAAATATTTACGAAACCATAACTTTCTTATATGATACAGATAAAACTCCAAGATCATATAAAATCGATAAGAAATTTTCTGCTCTATACGTTGGTATATAATAAATAGCGATTAGTTGATTGCACAAGAACTTTCCCCCAAAGTTGAGAAACCGCGTATAATTGCTGTATTTAACAGTTTACGGCGTCATATTTTTCTTATGTGATACGAACAATACTCCGAGATCATATAGAATCGATAGGAAATTTTCTTTTTTATGATGTGGTACGTAATAACCATCGATTACTTAACTGCACAAGCAGATTTTCCTCAAAAACTACGAAAACCACGAATAATTGTTGATTTTAAATATTAGATAAGATAACTTTCTTATATGATACGGATAAAACTCCATGATCATATAAAATCAATAGGAAATTTTCTGCTCTATACGTTGGTGTATAATAACCAGTGATTACTTGATGACACAAGAACTTTTCCCCCCAGGTTGTGAAACTGGGTATAACTGCTGCATTTAGCAGTTTACGGCGTCATATCTTTCTTATATGATACGAACAATACTCCGAGACCATATAGAATCGATAGAAAATTTTCTTCTCTATGTTATGGTACGTAATAACTATCGATTAGTTAATTACACAAACAGATTTTCCCAAAAAACTATGAAATCCACGAATAATTGTTGATTTTAAATATTTAGGGCGCCATAACTTTTTTATATGATACGAATAAAACTCCAAGATCATATAAAATCTATAGGAAATTTTCTGCTCTATATGTTAGTGTATAATAACCAGTGATTACTTGATTGCACAAAAATTTTTCCTCCAAAGCTGTAAAACTGCGTATATAACAGTTTACGGTGTCATATCTTTCTTATATGATGCAAACAATACTCCAAGATCATATAGAATCGATAGGAAATTTTCTGCTCTATACGGTGACATACAGGGTGAGTCAGAAAGAATGTCTCTTAAACAAACATCTAACATCTCTTATACAAATGTCGGTTTTTTTCAAGGCACAAGGTTGAAAGTTAAATTTTTATTTAGAAATTTCTTGATAATTTTGAAGCTTTTTGTACTATTAACATAAAATTTGGTAGTTATATGTTTTCCAGCATAAGAAATACGAAATTTGTTTTGTGATTACTCGTAGAGGGCGCTAGATACACACTGCACGTTTGAAATATCAAGTCATGACTATTTTGTCAGTTGAGGTATGGTGAATTAAAACCAAAAATCTGAAGAAGCTTTCAATTCTACACAAAAAGGTAGTCTTGCTTACATTGCCTAAGTCTACTGGTTTCCAAGTTATCTGCTTTTAATTGTTTCAAAGTAATTTTAAGGTTAACATTTAAAATCAATAACACACAGTAACTATAGCAATTAGTAACGATAATAATCGATAACATTAACAATTAATTAATAACAATAGAATATTGTGACTATATTCAAAAATCCAGTGGCTTTAAATCTGGATTTCTCACTATTAGAAAACTGATTACGTCGTGGCATTTTCATATTGGTAATAACTTTATTGTTGGTAAAAATGATTATTGCACACGGAAATTAGATCAATGTTGACAATTAACAAGCAATTGTCGAAACAAAAAAAAAATTTTAGAAGAAAAAATATATTTAAACATTTAAAAGTAAATAATTCGAAAACCGATAGACTTAGACAATTTAAATAAGAGTACCTTTTTTATGTAAAATTGAATGCTTTTTGTGATTTGTAGCTCTTATTGGTCGTAGCTCCACAGCCAAAAAACTTATGATTTGATTTATCGAACGAGCAGCGTGTATCTAGCGCCCTCTACGAGCAATAACAAAACAAGTTTCAAATTCGTATTTCTCATGCTTGAAAACATAAAACCACCAAATCTTATGCTAATAGCACAAAAAGCTTCAAAATTATCAAGAAATTTCGAAATAAGAATTTAACTTTCAACACCTTTTGCCTCGAAAACCACTGACATTTGTATAAGAGATGTTAGGTTAAATCATCATATTTTGGTATCTAGTATCTCCGGTATACGGATTTCCCTTTCTTTCTGACCCACCCTGTATAATAACCAGCGCTTACTTAATTATACAAGCAGATTTTCCCCAAAAACTACGAAAATCACGCATAATTGTTGATTTTAAATGTTTGCAACGTCATAACTTTCTTATATGATACGGACAAAAATCCAGGCTTATACAGGATGTTCCGGTGACGCGGGGCATAAAATTAACCATCATATACTAGAGCAAAAATGATGACGATTCATAAAAAAAAATTATTATAAAAGTCTTCAAATGGCCAAGATATTACAAATTTTAACACATTTTTCCAACCATGCTATACAGGCTGTCCCTAAAATTTGTTTGCTCAGAACTTTTTTGTTCGCTCGTAACCCTACATTTATTTTTGTACTATTTAATAAAAAATTTATTTTAGAAATTTTTATCACTCTTTGAAAATTTTGATAACATTGATCGTTTTCGAGTTATACGCGAAAATGTTAAGCTTTGATTTTAATCGTAACAAACAAAAAAAGGAAACATATTCCGCAAGATCTGAGTTGGCGATGACAATTGAAAAACGAACTGAGCTAATAACCATTATTTGCATAAATTTCTAAGTGCAGATTTAGTTAAATCCAGTGTTAATTTATATTAGTTGAATAAAAGAATGTAATTTCCAAAACAATAAATTTAATTTTTACGGTAACAACAAACAAGAACATAACAAAAATTCTAACAAAAATATTAACAAGAACAATAAAATTATAAACAAATAGTAATAAATAAAAAAGAAGAAAAAAATACTAAAGCAGATGTTCAAAAACAGTGCCTGATATCGCCGTCTTAAATTAAAGCGCACTCTGCGGAGAACATTGATCTCAGTTCGAAGCTGATCAAATCAATCAACAATTTGCAACCTCAGTTGATCAACTGAAGTTATTTCAACGCAGTAAACTAACGATTTAACGCGTCCCCATAAATAAAAATCTACAGGTGTAAGATCCGGCGATCGGGGATGCCAACTTATCGGTGCACCTACTTCTCGTCCAATCCACCGTCCCGGAAAACGTTCCCTCAGAAATTCTTGGACAGCCTGTGTGCTATGCGCAGGAGCACCATCATGCATTGTTTGCCTTGTGTTTAAAGGAACGTCATCTAAAAAATCATCTAATTCCTCTAAATGTCGCCTGTATGTATGTCCAATAATTACATCGCCCACAATGCCAGCCCAAACGTTAAGAGAAAAGCTCCATTGTGATTTCCAAGTTTTCTTAAATCTTGGATTTTCGTCCGCCCAACTATGTAAATTTCTCAAATTGATGATTCCATCTTTAGAAAAAGTGGATTCATCTGTAAAAAGCACTTTTTCTAAAAACTGATCATCAATTTGGATTTTGTGCTGCATTATTTGGCAATATTGCAGTCGCAGTGGGTAATCAGCCAGTCGAACTTCCTGAACTTTGTAACAATGAAATGGATAAAGCTGTTGCTCGTAAAGAACACTCCAGACAATTGTTTTTGAAGTTAAAAAGTGCCTCGCCATATCCAAAGTACTAGCTGTAGTATTTTCTTGTACGTAGTCTAGAATATCTCCTTCTAGTTCGGGTCTTCGGACTAATCTTAGTGGCTGCTACGGCGTTTCCATGACATTGCCCTAATGTCAAAATCATGTCAGTTGGTTCACTAAATGTGTAATTCTCCATTTTGAACACTTAAAATTAATAAAAACTTAACTAACAAAAAATTATCGTTTGTGTTTAAACGACATAAGCAAGTTGACAGCTCAATTTGTTTTTTTTTAATTGTCATGGCCAACCTTGTCTTTTTCGAAGATTTTTATTTTTTAGTGTTACCATTGAAATCGAAGCTTAATATTTTCGCGTATTACACGAAAACGGTCAATGTTATCAAAATTTTCAAAGAATGATAAACGTTTCTAAAATAAATTTTCTATTAAATAGTACAAAAATAAATATAGGGTTACGAGCGAACAAAAAAGTTCTGAGCAAACAAATTTTAGGGACACCTGTATAGCATGGTTGCCGCCGCCCGAAAATTGGTTCAATGATTTTGCTTGATATTTGTTTACCCTGTACCTATAAATGGTCATCGAATCGTCATCATTTTTGCTCTAGTATATTATGAGGTTAATTTTTAGCCCCGAGTCACCGGAACACCTGTATAGGTTTTTAAAATTCGATTCCATAACTGCTGCCCACTAGTAATTAGCTTGATCATTTGGAGGTGTATTTGATACATGCAGACGTTGTTCATTTTTAATTCCTAAATACAAGAAAATTACTCTAAAGACATCGAAAATATCGGCATATAAAGTAGGTGGAAAAACAAAGAGAAAAGTTTATTTCTGTCATCACGTAGGTAGTAGTAGGTAAGGTTAATGGGGTCGTTCTTTCATCTTTAGCTTTTACATTTTTATTAACATTGAAGCATACGGAACACTAAGCCAGAAAAGGAAAAAGGGGTAAGGAAAATGACTTTTTTTTCAAACGTCGGTTAGCCCAAGTTTTCAAAGGTAAAGAGAGGATTTTCAACCTTGAAATAAAAAAGTTGCGCGGAACTGAAACACAGAATACAGAAAACGGAAAAGATGCGATTTCCTTTGCGCGCACTATTTTTG